CCTGTAGCTTGAATCTGATCCTTTTGGGAATAGCGGCGGTGGACGGGCGAGCGCAGAAAGCGAGTCCCGAGCGGCCCGCAGAGCTCCTCCTGCCGCTGCAGACCTGCTCGCTCTCTTTGCGCTCGTGACCCACACCTGACGGTTCTTCCCCTTAGAACATTCAGCCGCGTTCCAAGGACGAGCGTGCTCAGGGAGTTCATGTCAGCAGGCCATGGTGGGCGCTGCACCAAGGTCTGTGCAGTCCAGGGTGGGAGCCTGACTCCGCGTGCTGGTACGGTGGGTGTGAGAGTGGAGGCCGAGCTTTACGGGGACGCCGTGTAGCACGGAGGCCTCCCATGTCCCCCGCTCAGGGAAAAGCCATGCAGCTCTCTGCAGTCACTCGTCCCGACTCGGAGCCTCCGCATCCGTCACTGGGAAGCCCATCAGTGAAGCAGAACCGGCTCCGCAGAGCCCTCGGGGACACACGGGTTTCCAGCCCCATGTCCGGTAAAGAGGGGCCGGGCCTTCTCCTCAGGCTGGGGCAGCCTGGGAGCTCTGGCCATAGCATCTGTCACTCCAAGTGCTGCCCCCTTGGCCAGGTCACTCTGCACGCGAGGGACTCTGTGCTTGGGCCGGGCGTGGAGAGTCCGTCGGGGAGGTCAGGATGGCCCCTGGCTCTGGTGAGGGCTTTTTCTTCTCCAGCCTGCCTTTCCAATCAGCTCCTTTATCAGGTAGTCTCCTCTTAGCTTTACCCAGCTTGTGGTCTGTAGTGTTGGCAGCCGGCCTCGGTCACGTGGGGAGAAAGCACTTCTGAGAGCGGGTGTCTAGTTGGCTGTAACGACCTGGCTGGAATGCAGCCTGGTGCAGAGACCTTCCCGGTCAGCACCCGTCTCCAGCTGTTCGCAGGTCGCTGTAGGAGTTACTGATGGGAATGTACATGTTGCTGTGAGCATTGCTTTTTTTTTTGGTGTGTGCCTAAAGGTGTGTGCACTTGCCAGAGAAAGATTGGGATCGAAAGAGAGCAAGAAAGCATGCCCATGATGGCCACACCTCAGTCCCTTCTCCATCCCTCTCCTGTCAGTATTTGGGGCACACATGCGCGTGCACCCAGCATGTTTCTCAAGCCACTGTGTCCGGGGCTCGAACTGCACAGTTGGCCACGTGGGGTCCGGGCGCCTTCCCCACTAGGCCGTGGGCTGGGCTGTCCGGCTCTTACGCAGTGTGCGTTCTTGGCCTTCCTTTGCTCCCCTGCATCCAGGAGCCTGGTCTGTGCCCCGGTCACGCAGAAGGGCAGTGGTTTTAAAGCTAGGGCTGCTTCGTGGTGTGACCTCAGCGTCGTCTTCCCTCTCCAGCCTGGACGTAGGGGCCAGTTGTGGGGAGGTGGGAGGCGAGGCGAGCAGGGTGGGCGGGGGCTGTGAGGGCCGCTAGAGCCTGTTTGTGGCGGGGCCCTGGGGGTGGCAGCAGTGCATGACGCTGGGTGCGCAGTGTCCATGTGGATGTGAGGGCCTAGCTGGTCCTGCAGTCACAGGGAACATCACAGTTCATGCCCCCGCCTCCCGACCCCGCCCCAACCCCAACCCCAGGCGGACGCCTCGGAGGCCGACAGGCCCGGGATCTGGGTGGGCGGCCAGGGCAAAGTTGCTGTGGTGTCCATGCCTGGAGCGCTGACGCTGCCCTCGCAGTGGGTTCTCCTGTCGCTGTGCACACTTTTCCTCAACGAGCACACTTATAAATTTAACTGACGGCGTCCAGAAGACTGCGCGGTGGACGGGGCTGTGGCCGGGGGGCCGGGGGCCCTCAGCACGTGTTTTCCAGCTGCATTCTTAGGGACAAGTCTTCAGAGCAGGAAAACGAGTATAATAAATACTGCATCTTATTAAGATGTGTAATTTTATTCTGAACAAACATAAATTATGTTTTGTATTATATGACTTTAAAGAGCCCACATTAGGTTTTATGATTCATTTGCCAGGTTTTTAAATGTTTTCACAATACTTGGGGGATTTCAGCTACAAATAAAATGGTGTAAATAAAGATCTTGATATCTCTAAATTATGGATGTTAAAGATTTGAAATGTTTTGTACTTTGATTATTTTTATTTCTTATACTCTTTCCTTTTATATTGCTATCTTGCCCACATTTTAAATAAATGTACTTTTGAACTTAGAATTGAGTAATCCTTTGTTTTTTCATGTTTTTTTGCATAACTTACATGATTTGCATAAAGCAGGATCACATTTTAAGTACTTTCAAGGCAGAATATTTTCGCTACACTGTAATGATTTCTCAAATAATTTCTGGAAGACAGCCTTGTTTCTGTGTTTATTTTCTAGAGAGAGATTTTTGCTATAGGGCATGTGCACTTGCTGGAGAGAGAGAGACAGAGAAAGTGAGAAATCCCTCAAGGGGGTTGGCCACACCATAATCCCTTCTCCATTGTCCTCAGGGCTTGGGGCACGTATGCACACGCGCCTGGCATGAGTTTTAAGCCGCCAGGTCCAGGACTGGAACTGCGGTCGACTGTGGGAGTCCAGTGATACCATCTGCTGGTCTTGGCAGTCTTGTTTTTAATCATAAGTAAGTGACGCGTACCTTCCGGGCAGCAGTAGGAGGGGATGTCTCGCCACCACTGGGCATGGGTGCCAGCGGTCAGAAGTGACTGCCAGGCCTGCGCCATCCTGCTGTGCCAGGCCATGTGCCCCCTGTGCCTGGCGCGGCACAGTCCTTGGGCCCCTCTCGAGTGTCAGGTGTTAGGGGAGTCAGACCCTGCTCGCATGTCACTGCTTCCCCAGGGCCAGCAGGTGGTGTCAAGGTTAAGGTGCTGGATCCCACGTGGCCGGCTAGGCAGTTCAAGTCCTGCTCAAGTGCAAATCCTGAGAGAATGAGGGGGAAGGGAGGTGATGTCTCACTTCCTTTCTCTGGAAAGCACACATGCCCTGTGGCGAAATCTAGGAAAGGGAATGTCCCTGAGTACTGGTCTGGCTTCCATGGTAATTTGGAGATGTCTTCTAGAAACAGCTGTGATCTCGAGTTTGTTTCTTAATTGCCGTCTCTACAGTTCCGCCCTCAGACATAGTTTGTGGGAAGCACTGCACTTAAAAACGCTGGCTCACGCAGGTGGATTCTCTTTCGGGCACGCTCGGTGTTCCTGTTGGGTGTCAACATCGGTTGCACGGTTCAGACGTTCACTTGGGACACACCTGCCGGCTCTGACAGGTAGGCCTGTGTGGAGTTACGGCTTATGGGAAGACATCACCACACGATTTGACGACCAAGATGAGGAGCAATATGCGCATCGCTGTCCTTCCCGCCTCGCCCTTGGCCTCCCCTGGTGGTTTCTCTGTGACCTCGTTACCACGGGAGCACTTCCTGGACCTATTACGTATTTATGGCCCACGGGACAGGCTTCCTGTGAGCTGCGGAAGACGTGCCTGACAGGTGTCTCCGTGGACTTGGGCGTCTCCCGGTACCAATCGAGCGTCTGGAATTCTTGGGCCCAGAAGCGTTTTGTATTTTGGATTGTCTCGGGTTTGGGACCATTTGTGTGTAAGTGATGAGATAGCTTTGCTGTCTTCCTTGGGGATGGGACCCCGTTCCAAACACTCGATGCGTGTGTGTTCCACACACACCTTGATCACAGCCTGAAGGTGGTTTTACACAGCAGTTTACACTCTTGGTGAACTGTTCGGGGGCACGCTTGCCTAGGGGGATCGGGGCCTGTGCGGGTAGATGCAGCACTGCGGAGGGTGACAGTTCCTGGGGGACTCGGCACTGCTGGCAGCTGCATTTTGACAGGACGGTTATATGAGGGCACAGGTAGAACTTACTTAGGGCATCGGGTTTTAGACTGGAGAGTTTCAGATTAGGCTTTTGGATTATGGATGTTCGATCTGCATTTTTAATGAACTTATGCCTGGAAATGTGTCTGTTTTTAAGCATGTGTTTTTGTACCTAAGCACATCTAGAGGTACCTGGCACCTGGCCTTCCCGTCAGTGCACAGGTGGGCTTGGTGTGCTGTGAAGCATGGCAGACCCTGTGCAAGCCGGGCCGTGCAGGAGACCCTTCAGTCGGAGTCCGGCTGTGGTTTGCCGAGTATTCCCAGCACTGCCCTGCTGCTCGGACGGTGCAAAAGAGCAGGTTAGAACAAATGGCCTTCTGGGTAGAGTGCATCTGTTTGACCTTCAGTATAGACTGGGGGTTATTTAGCCAGCATACAAGTATGGCTGGTTTGATTAACCTTTCAATGAACGCTTTTTTCAAAAGCTGCCAAGAAATAATCCTTAAAAACTCCAGGAGCTGTCTACAGCCAACTGGCTTTAACAGCTGTGAAGTCCTCATTTGGCAGCTAAGAGGGACTTAGAGTTCTTGGGAAATTGATGACATCAAAATACTATTTCTCATAAGGAACAGGAATCTTTCACTTAGCCCTGCCATTTTTGTTTGACTTAATGTCATCCAATAGAAATATGATATGACCCATGTAGGTAAATTAGAATTTTTTTTTTGTAGTCAAAAACGTTTGTTTTTTAAAAATGGTTTAAACTGGTATAGACAAAATACCAGTTTTTTCAACTACAAGTAATCAATTAAAATTTTTTTCTTGGTCTTTGTTTTTGAAGAATTACTCTATTTAACTTTATTTATTTAATTTGACCAGAGAGGGACAGAGTGAGAGGGAGAGAGAGGGCAAGTAAGAAAGCAAGCCACCAGGCCCCGGCTTCGAACCATGGTCAGCCATGTGGGAGTCCAACACCCTTAACCACTATGCCCCCTGCTGGTCCCCAAGTAATCAATATTTTAAAGAAATCAGATATTTTTACTCATTTTCGGGTAGCACGCCTTTAAGACCGGTGTGTATTTCACATGGACACCTCAGCTCTGAGGACAGACCTGACAGCGCTTGTGGTCAAAGGGGTAGGTTCCCACCCCGGTCACTCAGACACGGCTAAGCGATTCCAAGAACTAGTGTCGCTTTTGAAAGTAATCGCGTAGGAACTTGGGCCGGACGGGCCGGCACGTTGCAGCCCAGCGCGGGTGCACCTGTCTTGTGTGCAGATGGTCCAGGGCAGCTGGGGCTGGGCTGGCGCCTTATCTCCTGAACCCTGACCCTCGGGCACGAGGAGCAGCGGGAAGAGGAGTGCCAGTGAGGAAGTTTGTAGTAGTGTTTCCTCCCACTGCGAGGGAGAGTGAGAGGTCCCTGGACCCCAGCAGCTGCCGGCTCTCCAGGAGGTAATGGCTCAGGAGGGAGCCGAGCACGTGGCTTCATCCAGCAAATACTTGGTAATTTAAGGGAAAATACTTGAATAGTAATACTGCCTACTTTGTTTTAAAATGTTTTGGCATAGAAAAGCACAAATGACAGATAATTGTTCCTCAGCTCTTTGAAACTCAGTACTGCTCAGCTCCCCAGGAACTTCTCCCAAAGTATTTATTTTTGTCAAATTATAAAATAAGGGTATAATTAAGTTCCACGTCTGCCTGGAACGGTGATGGGGATGGCCCCGGTGAGTCCCTCCCCACCTCCCACCACTGGGCCTCCCACACTGCCTTTGTGTCCTTGGGTCCTGGAGGCAGCTGACACCGCCCTCCCCAGAGCTCTGCTGCCTGTCAGCCCTCATTTCCGCTCCCCCTCGCTCCATTCACTCCGGTGCAGGCGACTCACTTCCGTCTTCACTGTCAGGTACAGGACCCAGCCCCTCCAGCATGAGTGGTGGGGCAGCCCTCTTCCCCTGAGCCTGGGACCCCAGGGTCTGTCCTCACACCTGTCTGCCAGAAAAACCCAAAAAGCCCTGCAGCCTGGGCTCCTGGCATCCGCAGCTGCCAGCCTCCAGCCTGCCTTGGTGAGGCAGCCCGAGCTCAGCATGTGGGCAGCCCAGCGCTGCAGCCGGTGCGGACTAGCAGGCCGGGTGCCCGCAGGCTCCAGCCAAGTGTGGACCTGTGGGCCCCAGGTGACAGTCCTCCAAGGCTTGAAAATGGGGGCAGGTTTGGAAAGGTAGCAAAAGGAGCTTCTAGATAGAAAGCGACAGGGAGATAGGAAAGGGGACTGCTCACAGATGGCCTTA